GGCATCCCCAGTGACAGGGATGGGGTGGCCGATGGCTTCGTCTCCCCGCTGGGAACTGGAGCATCCCACTGTGCCTGGGATGCGTGTGCCAAGGTGGCCTCATCCAAACACCCGGGCCCAGCAAAGCATCCGCAGGAGCCGGGGACGCATCCAGAGAACCCAGAGCCCCCAGCTGCAGCCCGCAAACTGGGCTGGTGCCTGGATGGGGCCCATGGGGCAGAGTGCCAGGAGCGAGCGAGACATGGGGGACCCGCAGCGTCCCACGGGATGGTGTAGCAAGCTGGGCTCGCCATGCAAGTGCCCGGATTTGGAAGGCTAATTATCCCCTTAATTAGCTTCCTGGGTGCTCCCTGCCCGCTTTGGGGGTGTGGGGGGACGGATCCTGCCCCCCATCCCACTGCTCTCCGACAGCCGCCGGGGAAGGATGCGGCGGGTGCCTGCTGCCTGCGCGTTGCCTGCGGTAGGGACCCATCCGTGGGAGCCGGAGCAGGGATAACCCCCTCCCCATGCACTGCGGCTGGGGGGGGGCGGGTAGGACACCCCCATCCCATCCATGCCCTCTCCAGTTTGCATGTCGGCCCCAGGGTGCGCCGGCAAACACAGGGACCCGGCACATCACCGCCTCCCGCACCCCCTTCCCCATCGGGAGGAGGAATTGGCGGGGGGATGAGGGGAAAGCTGTGCCCCCACCCTGTGCCCCGCGTGGCTCCCAGCTCTCCCCGTGCCCTGGGCGCCCGCAGGGACTCGTTGCTTCGGCTCCCAAGTGGGGTCATTAAATAAAAGCAATAAACAGAGCTGACAGCAGGGCCCCAGCCGGGCTGAGCCTGCCGCAGGATCGGCCCGGGCCGAGGCCATCGGGGAATACTATTTATGGCAATAAATGGGATGTGACCGAGGTGGCGGCCCCGGCCACGCGCTGGCTCCTTGCCCGGCGTGGAGCAGGGCTGCATCCTGGCAACAGAAGGGGTGCTGAGCCCCCAGCCACAGCTCCGCAGCATCCCCACGGCTGAGCAGCATGGGGCGAGGGGCAGCTGGCAAAACCTCCCGCTCCGGGCTGGAGAAGCTGGGATGGGAGTGGGATGAGTGGGTTGAGCGGGACGAGCAGGACAAGCGGGATGAGTGGGTCGAGCGGGACAAGCGGGATGAGTGGGTCAAGCAGGACAAGCAGGATGAGTGGGTCGAGCGGGACAAGCAGGATGAGTGGGACAAGCGGGATGAGTGGGTCGAGTGGGATGAGCGGGATGCCCTTCCCAGGCCACCCTTGCTCCCCCCGCCTCCTCCCCGTGCAGCCAACACTCTCGCCTGCCTCCGCCGCTCTGTCTTCATCTTGGGGATGGTTTTTTTTAGCTCCTGCAGCTTTTTCCACCCGCTCCGGGGACAGACCCGGATTCCCAGCCCTATTAAAGCCATCGCCTGTGTCCAGCTGCCACCTGTCCATCCCCGCGCCAAGCGTGCCACCGGCATTTGATGCTCCGAGCAGCCCCGGGGGTCCCGCTCGGGCTCTACCCTGTCTCTCCCTGCGCACAGCGGGGATGCTGAGCCACTGCGGAGGGACCAGAAGGACAGAGGGACGGCAGGACGGACACCCGGCAGAGGTCTGGCTGTATTCTACAGTGCATGTGTCTCCAGTGTGAGTAAGTGACTGGAGATGCAGCCCTGTTGGAATAACAGCCAGCGCCCATGTCTTCAGCTGGAAGCGCCCTTGCCGCCGCCGGCCATGCTCCCACCTGCCGCCCGGATCCGGCCCCGCGGCCGAGGATGCTCCCGGGGCAGGCGGGTGTCACGGCCCTGGCGAGGGGCTGATGTCCCGGCCGGGGTCCCTGGGGTGCAGGGTTGGGGATGGTCCCCGGAGGGACCCCGCCGTGGCACCGGGGCCGGTGGTCGGTGCAGCCGGGGATGGAGCCTGGAGCCACCCGGCAAAAGCAGGACTGAAGGAAGAGCAAATCCCAGCGCCATTAACTGGTGCCCGACTCGGGGCCTCCACCTATTCCCGTAATAACATCATCCTTATCCCGCTCTCCCAGACGAGGGCTGGAGGCAGGAATGGAGCTGGGGGGGGGGCCCTGTTCCCCCCAGCTTTTCCGTGCGTCCGTCCCGACGCCTCCGTCCCTCCGTGGGGTCGTTAATCCTCAGGCGAGCTTTCAGCGCTTTATCCAACTCCGTTCATCTTCCCCGCCGGTGATTTATGGCGGGGGGGGGCGGGGGGGGGGGGGGGGGGTTTTTTCCCCGCGGGGGCCC